ATCTAAACAAGTTCTATCAAGTAGAAGGTAAAGAAGTGATTGAAGAAGTTGGAAGTTTATTTAGATTTACTCGGGAAGCGGTGACGAACATTACCGGCCTAGTTCTGAGAGGATCGTGGTTCAACTTGATACAATTTGTATGTGCATATATCATTACGGCAATAAACTGTGCTGTTCAACATTGGGCAATATTGTTCTTTGGAAATTTGAAGCTGTAGGACGACACAGAAACACAAAGTGATTTGAATTCTTGATCGGATCTGCGGTATCTGTGGAATACTGGTATTGATAGTCGATGTTGAAGACAAGAATTAGTTTTTGAGTTGTTCTAAGAATTCTGAAAATGGAGACATCGCCTTCGGGAACGACATTGACAGCTTTTTCAATAGACAATATACTAACTGGCAAATCTGATAAATTCAAAAAGAATTCAATGCCTGAAAACATAGATAACAGTGTCACATCATCGCCGAGGAAACCTGGTGGCTTTATTTGCAGTGATTTCCGTTCACCGATTCTTGGATCTCATCTACGAGATGCCCGAACGTCACCCATGCGTGATTCAAGTCGTTCTCCTATGCGTGACGCAAGTCGTTCTCCAATGCGTGACGCTAACTCTTCACCGTTACGTGACAGTCATGGGTCACATTTGCATGACACCAATGACTCTCGAGTCCCATTACCAATAACGGATGGCGAATTGTCCAGTGACTCATATTCATGTGTGGACTCGGATGATGACTGTAGTATAGTCCAGGGTGTTTCCGGTCCAGATCGTGGTTGTTTTTCCAGGCTGAATCCGTCCTTTCGAGAGCTAAATAGCTCCCATCTTGAATTAGAGGATGACGACCATAAAAATAATGAAGTCGATGATGACGAAGATTTAGATACGTCACATGAAGATATGACAGGTAAATATTCTTTGATTTTCAGTTTCTCGTCTTCATTAGCCCCATGAGATGCAGAAAAGAAAGATATAAATGTCTGATTTATTGGTCTAGAATATGAAATTGACATTTCCAAATATCAGAGATTGTATACGTTAATTTCCATCAAATTTGGGAAAAACAATATTTGAAATATTAACGCCAGATTTATTGAACCGATAAACAATAAATGATTTTCTAGAAATAAACTGATCACAATCACAAAAAAAATATTTGTGCTTCCCCAGCATTTTGGCAAACTGAAGTTTCAAAACGACAAACAATGAGCCATTATTGTAATATTTAGGATGATTTCTATGCATTTTTTTTTATCGTTATCAATGATCAAGAATGAAAATTAAAATTGTGCGATACTGATTGATCCTTCCCATACGTAGGCCTATTAAATGAATTGTAATTTTATGGTGGACAAAATAATTATTTTTTTTATAATGAAATAGATCTAGAAAAAAGGGCATAGAGGAGAAGAATATTGGTCTTAAAGACAATCTTGTATTAACAACAAAAAAAAAGCAATCAAGAAACATTCACTTACAGTAACGATATATTTAATTTCATAATATACAGAAGTACGCTGAAAATCATAAAATATATTTCAGATACCCAAACGACTGTTATCAATGTCAAAATACAATTATCTTTCAAGCCCTATTTCATTTCATGTTGTTTTACATGCTACATGTATTTGGAAGTGATAATCGTTTGGAAAGTAAAATTATTGCCTATTCTGTTTATTTAGAGCTGTAAAAAATTTGCTGTAGTGAATTTTCTTGATTTATTCTGCCTGTGTGTTCATAAAATAGATTTATTATCATTTTGATGTTCACAAACTGAGCTAGTTTTTTCAGACCTCACAATTTTTGTCGGATAAAAATATCTCAGCTCTCAACACCAAGAATTTCAAACTCGTCTTTATACGCGACTTGACAACGTTTTTAACATTCAAATATTATCTTCGAGTTATCTAACTTGACGTTATCTAGATGGCGCTACCTGATAAATCACGTTAATTTGTCACATTCGAGACTCAGATTTCAAACGAAAACACACTTCAGACAAATTCATAATATAATATCATTGTTTAAACACTTCTGATTGTGTTAAAATATCCATCAGTCATCCTCCGTCAGCCTTAACTACATGAAGAACATGGACAATATGATATACGAGTGTGTTCCTGTGAAATATAGGCTATTGATTTAGTAAATTATACAATTTTATCTTATTTCTTAAGAAGAGAACTAATACTATATTAAAGATAATTCAGTCAGGACCAGGACAGATTTTGAAGGAATAAATAGTAAAATATATTGACTCAACTCTTATATATCTATTACATTTTTCTTTCGAAATTTTAACCGTTAATACAGAAAATTTATTAATTATACACAGGCTATCCTACATGTTTTTCTTTTAGTCAGAATATTTTTATTTAATTGTTGAAAATAAGCTCTGGATTGCTGGCACTTGTTCGGGAAATGATGCATATTTTATCAGAAATACAAAATAAAATTGATTTTCTCTAAAACAATTTCTAAGAACGTTAGAGAACATATAGGTAATAATAAAGGCAGATCAAATACGATATATAATATAATATATTATTTTTATGATATATGTATGATTATAATAGATTTTTCATAACTGCATTTTGACAATTTTTCTGTGAGATCTACTCTTCTTTTTATGTAGGTGATATCGAAAGGGTGTGTTGCATCAGATACATGAATAAAGAACAGGCTGAAGGGTGACATCCATATAGACCTTTGAAAAAGCGAACTTAAATCTATCATTTCACAAGTAATTGATTAAAAAGAAATAATATTCATCCTTTTTTCCCTACTACATATTTCTTACTAAGAATTTATTTAATTACTTTAAAGGGTTGTGTGTTGACTTTATTTAGAGTTTAAATCGAATTTACACTTATTGATAATCAATGACTTGGTTCAGAAAATCGAGAAAAAAATTTTGTCTCTCTCCACTCTCCTACTCATGCTTATTTAGATAATGAAATAATAGATTTCAGTAAACATAGATTTACCTTTTATATTACCTAAGGTTTGAAAAAAATATAGAAGTGTTATAATTTTTCGAGGACAATTTGACATGGTGTCGTTTACAGATTGTATTAAAGTCTTCGGGGTTGACTGGATAATTTTTAATTCTATTATAGATTCCACAAAAGTCTTACAACTTCAGCGTTTTTTTTTAAAATTTTTAATAAATTCTGTAAAAGCGTTTGATATATTTCTATAGATGACAAAACCGTGCATGACGCGAATTGTTAAGAGAGCTTGACCTTTTTTTTTCATGTTTATAGAATCTGTTAAAACGTTTGATTCTATGAAAATGTGATGAAGTGCTAGTGAATTCGTAATTACCATTCAATTAGATATTAATATGATTAATGTTTATAAATTCTGTAAAAGCCGTTGCCTTGATTTTTACCTGAACCATTTTAAGCTAATTTATATATTTTGAAAGGATATTTTTAATATAAATAATATGTTTCACACATTTGGCAATTTTAAGCAGGTTTTAAAATACTAGGTTTTAATTAGAATTTTTCAAGTTTTCCAACATTATTTTGTACATTAGATTATTTAAAGATGCATTGCTAACTATTTTAAACAGTTTTCTACAGAAAAATTAACAAATCAGCATTTAAAAACATGTGAACTGATTTATGATGTGACACATTTTAGATATAAATTCATACATTTCCACCCCTCGGAGGATAATATCAGATTGACAAGCACGATCGCAGACCGACATCAAGTGGCCATGACTGTCTAACCAGAGACACCCGGCACAGTAAATGTACATAACAATAACACATAACATGTCAAGCGAAAAATTCTGGTTTTCAAATTAAATTTGAAAATATAAAATAAATAAACAGTGAAAATTGAAACAGAACTTGGTGAAAATGGCGGAGATTAAATGTCATATGAGAATGTATTTATTCTCGGTAGGATTTTAAACATAGGCACGTGGAATAACACCAAGTTTAAATTAAAACAATCAAACTACATTCCCATATTGTCCTGAATTGTCAAGTTGAAAGAAAACTAAATTGATAAATATTTTACTGGAATTTAAAATAAAATGATGAAATTAGTTTTTGTTTTTCTATTTATTTATTATTATAACTTAGTAATTCTTAACTTTCATTCAACCTCTGAATTTTGTCATTCCTGTCTTATTTTTTTCCAAAATAATATCCTCATTCAACTATATTATTCGGTATAAAATTTATTGTACTTTCAAATCCGTTTTTTTTGAACGTTCTCTCAGAATTTGCATTACATATAGCTTCTCAATTTTATTCATCTTCGGATTTAAGGTCATTCTTCGCTTGTTCATTCCACAAGAAAGACATTCTACTTATCCTTATTAAGAGACTTTTATTTAGAACCTACTCCTGTGGAGTTATTAGATCTAAAAGCGAAACTTATTTGATCAGAAGCAACCTTATTTTCCGAGCCATTTGTATCTACTTTCAATTTCATTTGATTCTATTTCATTTCTTATTTCAGACAAACAAGACGAGGAAAACGAGGATAAAAATGATTTAAACAAACCGAGAAAGAAAAGATCTAGAGCATCATTCTCACATGGTCAGGTGTACGAATTAGAACGCAGATTTCGCCATCAGCGGTATTTATCAGGACCAGAGAGAGCAGACCTAGCCCAGGCACTGAAACTTACAGAAACACAAATTAAAATCTGGTTTCAGAATCGTAGATATAAAACAAAACGAAGACAACTTCAACATGAACAAGTTCTAGTAGCAAATGCCAAGAAGGCGGCAATTACGCTATTGATAAAAGACGGTAAAAGGTTGTATAACCCTCAAGATTTAGTTCGACCCATGATCTATCCCTCCATACCTATACCAGGCTTCAATTATTTCTACTATCTACAGTGAGCCCACCAGACTATATCTATCTTAATGGATTCGGTAGGCAAGAACTGTTCTGGATAATTAATGTTTGTAGACGATATTATCCAGGGGTAATACTGGAACACCCACCTCGTCAATTAAATAACGTATTGTGTTTTATTCATTGTTACATAATGTCACTTATTGGTGTTGTTAATTTGGTAAAACCCAGATGTACATGTGGTGCTGAGCTGAATTGGAAAACTATTTCAATATTTATGTGCATGGTTGTACATGTATACGAAGTTATGTTGTATGAAGAGGACTTTCTGCATTATACAAAATTATATATGACTGAATGTTGTTCGTGTCGGTTTGTGTCTTCACATTGTACAAGCAAAAAACCATTGTTTGGTCCTCACTGTGTTTTAAACGTGACTGGACAAGCTCGAATTATAACCATTTTGTGCAATCAATCGAATCATAAAATTTCTGACCCTTTTGTGCATAAATTTCATTGACCAAAAAAACAAAATTCTACTGATCTTTGATTTAAAGGAGGATCACTCTGAATACTGGCGACGTTCTTACAAGTTTGACTGTATTGTGTTGAAAAATTCGCGACTTTGACTTTGTGCTTTTATTTAAACTATTGTGAGACATAAATCCCTTATTCATATACACCCTGTATTGGCCGAGGGTGAAAACTGTTAAACGATCGAGTTGAATATGTAAAACGATGCATTCGATATTGAAGGCAGAACTGATATAATTCTGGTTATTTATTTTTAAGTTAATTATGTGTTTATTTATTGTGAATGAGCTCTGTTTTGTTTACGTGTTTTCATTATTACCAGAAACGAATTATTTCTATTTATCTTATAAAAATACTATAATTAAATCATTTGTAAACTTAACTTAGTAAATGACGAACAGTTTAAAAGTTGAAAAATATTTCGTTTCTTGTTTAAACAATATAATATAGATTTATTTAATTAACCGATTCGTTAAAAGGCAGAATTGAAAATTATCTGATACGAAAGCTAAATTAGGCTTGTTTACTACTTAATTCAAGATATAAAATTAAAATTTGTTTATAATCATTATCACTATCGACAAACAAGGAGTGAATGACAAGGAAAAAAGGCAAATTGGATATATTAATAACCATTCAGCAGCAATCTTGAAATCATAATATTTAGAACTGAATCTTTCATGCTTGTCTATTTATGATTATTGATAAATCGAAAGTAAAAAAAAACAATATTATCAATCAAGAAAATTCAAGAAAGTTAGTAGGTAAAGCCAATTTAACTCAGTCCATTGTAATAGTAATAAGTTACGGTATGTTTGATTTAAAGGTAATATGACTGTATATATATGAAGGGTATTATATAAAAGTGCTTTAATAAAGAAAAATGTCTGTATCATGTTGTATAGTTTATTGTTGAAATCTACCATTTATTATCAATAAAGTCTGAAATATTCAAATTGTTCTTCAGTCATTGAATTTAACGTCCTATTTATTTGACACAGGAGAACCTTTTTCACATGACAACGCCATGAGCATACTTCTTTAGATTCTTAACTACAGAGATGTTTCCATGTTCAAACCAGAAAGTTTTGATGTCATTCCTTCGACGTGTATCAATAGTTTGATGCTGTAAGCTCACTATTGTGGAACACCTTACATCACTCTGCCACAAGGTTTTTCAAGAGTTCATGCAGCTCAACATAGTTTACGCATCTCAATATAAATCACACACCTCAACATAATATACACATCTCAACATAATATACACACCTCAACATAGTTTACACACCCGAACAAAATTTACACACCTCAACATAATCAGCACACCTCAACATTATATACACACCTCAACATAATTTACACACCTCAACATAGTATACCTACCTCAACATAATCAACACCTTTCTCAACATAATCAACACTTTTCTCAACATGATATACACACGTCAATATAATATACACCTCTCAACATTATATACACACCTCAACATAATATACACACCTCAACATAATTTACACACCCTAACATAATATACACACCTCAACATAATTTAGACACCTCAACACAGTATACATACCTCAACATAATCAACACTTTTCTCAACATAATCAACACTTTTCTCAACATAATATACACACTTCAACATAATATACACACCCTAACATAATATACACCTCTCAACATTATATACACACCTCAACATAATTTACACACCCTAACATAATATACACACCTCAACATAATTTAGACACCTCAACATAATATACACACCTCAACATAATCAACACACCTCAACATTATATTCACACTCCAACATAATATACACATCTCAACATAATTTACAGACCTCAACAAAATATACACCCCAACATGATATACACACCTCATCATAATTTACACACCTCAACATGATATACACACCTCATCATAATTTACACACCTCAACATGATATACACACCTAAACATAATACACTTTCCTCAACATAATATACACTTCTCAACATAATACACACTTCAACATAATACACTTACCTCAAGGTAATATACACACCTCAACATAATATATACACCTCAACATAATTTACACACCCCAACATAATATATACACCTCAACATAATTTACACACCCCAACATAATATACACACCCCAACATAATTTACACACCCCAACATAATATACACACTTCAACATAATTTACACACCTCAACATAATCAACACACCTCAACATTATATACACATCCCAACATAATATACACCTCTCAACATTATATACACACCTCAACATAATATACACACCTCAACATAATTTACACACCCTAACATAATATACACACCTCAACATAATTTACACACCTAAACATTATATTCACACTCCAACATAATAAACACATCTCAAGATAATTTACAGATCTCAACAAAATATACACCCCAACATGATATACACACCTC